CAAGATTGTTCTATAAATGGAATGATACAGTATAGCCATCCTGTTTGAATAGAATCCAATTTTGGCTCCCATACTATGTGTTCTGTTGCTGTCAGGCATTCAGACATCCAGTAACATTTTTTTTCTGGGACAAAAGCTATATGATACTTCCCTATTTATTGAGAAGGGGCTGTTAAAAATCACACAGCTCCTTATTCAATTATTTTCCATTTCTGAGCGTCCAGTTGCTGGCCTCCTGGATTCAGAATGTCCCTTGGACAAAATGACCTTGACTCATGGCTTCAAACCACAAAGGAAGACAAAAAGACAGTGCTTGCCCTGTCCCCAGCCCAAGGGTGGCTTTTTCTGCCTTGATGAGACTGTGAGGGCTAAAGTGTAAGATCCAGGCAGAGCACATCAAAGCTATGTAAAAAGGGACACATTTAAACACACCTATTATCCCTGTGGATCAGTCAACAAAGTATTTCAGTCACTGATGAGTCTCTCTGTGTTCCCAGATTTAGTTTTAGGTGAGTACAACAGATTATTTCTTTGTTTGCTTTTCTATCTGCTTGTGGTTATTTCTTCCTCCTGAGTGGTTCATCACAGCAACCGTCATATAGCAATCATCTGTCAGTATGTTATTATATATTATGTATTGACTGCCATAAAGGATCATAAAGCTTTTCAGGTGCCTATAAAAATACCAGCCACTGGCTGCAAAGCATACAGCCACACTTATGCATTTTTTTACTCAGGACTTGGAGATATTAGCCCAAAGACAAGGCAGCCACCGATGGGGAATGGTCCATTACTTTCGGCTTCCTTCTAGTCTGAGAGATGGATGCAGAGCTTGGAAGGATGCAGGTTGCAGAGATGCAGAAAATGAAGTGGACAAAGCAAATGTGCTTAGTGCGGCTTTAACAGGTGGAGCAGCTGGTGCCTGTGGTGGTGGCGTGGTGTGGGGAGCTGTGACTTGTCTCTCTTGGTTATGAAAACAGATCTGCTTATCATTTTTTCCAGAAATGAGACACTGTAGTTGTAAGAGAGAATGGAAATAAAACAGAAGGATCAATAACATGTATTATTGATTGGCTCTTTGTGTCAACATTGGTCTTGGTGTCCAGGTATAGAAGACTGCATCTCACAATATTTTATAGGCAAGCAACAAAGGTGGAAACAGAAGAGAGAGAGAGATGATAAATTTGTCCAATGTGGTGGCTAAAGCTGAGCAGGAGACAGGGGAAGGAGGATCAGCTCGAAGGGCTTATCAGTTGTGATGGGTTGTTCACGAGGGAGTGTGGAGAAAAAGGGGCTTGGTGAACCTAAGGGATGAATTGACGGAATACAAAGGGGACCTTTGAGTGACAGCAAACTGTTCATGCAAAAGTCCTACCGGTTTATGTTTGGAAAGTGGGACGAGGATTCTATCAGTGGAACTGCAGCCTAGTGGGCAAAGAAGACAATAAAAATGAAGTCATCGCTAAAACCATAGGTGGAGGTGCATTTGATTCTGGCAGAATGGTGAGACAGCGAGTAAAGCGCTGAAATTATGGAACTGCCTGAACTTCTTTATGAAATAAAATATCCTTTAGATGCTGTGTTAATATGCAGAAAATAAACTGGACTAGATAAGAGTAGAATGGGTCTATGTAGTATGGAAAGTACTTGGCTGACATACTCAGATCTTTTGTTGTTATGGGATAAAAACTGTAGTATCCCTGTGCTAGACAGTCTGGTGTCAAGGCCTGGGAGATGGTGCACTTGGTAAAGTGCTTATCACACAAGCATGAGGGCTGTGTTTGAATTACTGGATCATACATAGGAAGGTGAGTGTGGCAACACTCATGTGTAAGTCCTGGTCAGAGTGTGCCAGCCCTCATCTGTAACCACAGTGCTAGGAGGTGGCAGAAACATACAGGTTCATTGAGGTCATGGATTAACCAGCCTGGCTGTGTTTGTAAACTCAGGTTTTGAAACCCTGTACCAAAATTAAGGTGGAAAGCAATAGAAGAAGACACTTTGTTTGACCTCTGGCCTTCACGGATGGGAGTGTGTGTCCATGTACATTGCCATATGCTTACATACATACCCACATGAACACATGTATGCATCACACATATGGATACACAAAATAAGATGGATAGTCATAGAGGGAGATCTCACCATTGGCTTTTCCATGTGTCTCCACACATAAACACGCACATATGCACACAACACAGGAAACCAGCCCTAAGTTTCTTGTTCACTGAATGTTTGAATCAGAGTTACTTCTCTTGGGATCTCTCATCTCATCCTCTGAATAACCTGGGACCATACACCTTGCTTTAGAGAGCAAGAGAGTCTTTGTCGCTACCTTACATTCTCTACTCTTTTCTTCCTTGGGTAACAACAACCAGTTTGTCTCACTCTGCTGCGTGACTCCAAGCAACTGAATTGCTCCACATGTGCAATGACCAGCTGCCTCCAGGGTAACATTCAGATCACACCTCAGTGATGAGGGGAGGCTGAACCCTCTTGAGATTCTGCTTCTCAAGAATGTACATCTTTCCCCTGACAGTCCAGTGTGGTCTTCTCAAGTGTTATGTCAATTTTTGCTACCACAACAGACCAAATCCTGCAATTAGTAGTACTCAATGATTCTTTAAGGGAAATAATAGCTTTTCTGGGTTATTTGGAGAACTGAGATAATCTGCAACTAAATCCCTTAGGGTGTGTGTGTGTGTGTGTGTGTGTGTGTGTGTGTGTGTGTGTGTGTATGCACGTGTGAGCACATGAATACACACGCATAATAGTGATGAAACAAATCCCCTTCGTTACAGCCTGGGAGAAGGGGAACCCATCTTTGGAAATCCTGCATGTGTTTTATATCTTTTCTGTGATTTCTTTTACTGTGGGGAAGGAAGAAAACCTTTATATTTTGTTTCTTTCCTTTACCTTTAGTGACTTTAATTCTTTTTTTCTAATTAAACTGAAAAAAGAAATGAATTGGAGAAAATGTTAATTATGTTTGGACAAGGATGCAAATTTTACTGAGAAGAGGAAAAAGTTACCTCACAAGGTTATGTGTCATTCTAGGAAAGAGTGGTAACTATTGGGAAGTAACTCAAGGAAGAACTATCTAAGAACTGTAACATCCGGGCCTGCTTGTGGTTTCTGTCCTGCCTGGTACCCCATAGCCTGCAAGTCCCAAAGAAAAATCACAGAGAGTCTACATTAATGATAAACTGATTGGCCCATTAGCTCTTGTAGCTTATTCTTATCTATGTTAGCCACATGGCTCGGTACCTTTCTCAGTGGGCAGGTCACATCCTGCTTCTTTGGTGGACTGGGCAGGAATGCGAGAATGGGCTTCCTCCTTCCCAGAATTCTCCTGTTCTCATAGCTCTGTCTCTAATTCCTGTCTAGTTGACCCGCCTATACTTCCTGCCTGGCCAATCAGCGTTTACTTAAAACACGATTAACAGAATACAGATAATTCTCCCGCACCAAAGAACAACACACAAGTGGTGGTGGCTTATGCCTTTATTCCCAGTACTTGGGAGGCAGTCTGATCTCTGAGTTCAAGACCAGTCTGCTCTACAGAGTGAGTTCCAGAATATTCAGGGCTACAACACAGACAAACCCTGTCACAAAAATAAGTTGTAGGGAGGTAAATATGGGGCAGCTGATAAGATTTCTTTGTGCAAACTCATCTTGATGTCAACTTTCAGTCTTCTTCAGGACTGTTAAAACCCAGGAGTGGAGGCTTTATGGCAGACCAAGCTCCAAAGTCCATTTTGTCTAGTTAATGGAAGCTCCTGCAGCTCAAAATTCTCCATTGCCAAAGTGAAATGTCTGGGTGTGGCATATTCATTGTATTCTTTTCTTCGGAAAATATAGTATCAGGGCCAACTACCTCAATGGCTTCCAGTTACACTTGGATTCAAGTCATGGCCCTGTCTAGAGTTTTTCCTGGGAGAGTCAATGCGAAGCAGTAAGAATTTATCCTTTAGAGTAGGACTACCATGTGCAGAGTCTTAGTTTTAAATAACACTATACACAACCAGGAAGCTTCTGGGGTTGTACCTAATATTTTCATCTGTAAAATTGGACTACTGCTAGCAATACTTATGGTCAGAGAACAGCCCAGTCTGGCTGCACTGGCTTTTTCCTCCAGGCTCACAGCTTGGGATATTGTACAATTGCTTTCACTGGAACTGACTGCCAGGGTCAGAAAGGAGGAGAGGAGGCAAGCTGTAGCCTGTGACTGGTCCTGCCTCTAACCTGACTCCTCTTGTGATGAGTGATGGGTTTAAGGTCCTCAGTGCTCTCTGTGAACACAGTAGACTCCAGAGGGAGGTAGTTCCTTCTTGCTGGAAGCAGACTCTTGCCTTAACTTTTCTGCCTTCCGTGCTGAGCTGGACATTCCCAGCTGTCCCCATCAGAACCCTTCCTTCATCTGTGGATACCACCAGAGAAGATTTTGTCAAGTTCCCTTTCCAAAATTTTTTCACAAGAGAGTGCTCATTTGACCGTGCTGTACCAGGCCATTGGTTGCCCTTCTGGAGAGTCAGAAATGCATGCTTCTTGATTTTCCCCTGGATGAAAATATGGCATAATTTAGAAATCCCTCAAGTTTATTTTTCACTCTTGATAGTAACCCAGGCCTAATAAAAACTTCCCTTATTTTTATTACCTATAAATCCTCCTAATGGAATTAATAGAGAGAAAGTCAGTTAGGTTTCTGTGCTCAAATCACTGTCTTACCCAAAATCCTAAGCAAGATCAGATTTCGTTATGTATTGTAAATGACTGGAAGCTCATTTATCCTTAAGATAAACCATGCTGCCTCTACATTAAATCTTCCTTTGGAATGCCTCCACCTTTTCTGACAGGCTCAGGTGAACTTGAATTTGCATGAGGCAATAGAAGACTCTACATAACAGGAGTGGGCCGTGGAGTTAGCCTTTGCTCTGAGCAAATATCAGGCTGTCACATGACAGGTGCTAGATTACTGTCTGCTTTGGACTTAGCTCGGAAAGGGTAACCATCCTGAAGAGTTTGGTTCTACTTCTCATGTCTAGAAGCAGCTGTACCTGTATGGCAATTCACTTCTGAGGAGCTTGCTATTCAAATTTCTGTGAAGAGAGCAATGGGACTTGTCTTATGCATTGGTATCTCCCGTTTCCACACCAGTGTTGGAAATAAGGTGAGTGTTCAGTTTCCCCTGCAAAATGAATGAGCACAACGAGGAAGGACAGCTTGTTGGCTTTAGACCCAGTGCTTTGGGACGGTCTGCTACTACATAGACTGTAATGACTTATTCAGCTTTAGCTATGACACACTGGAGCAAATATTTAAATATAAATGCATGATTAATATAAATTTGTAAATCAGTGAAAAGAGAAATAAACATATAGTTTTAGTGAAGAACTTTCTTACTTGTCAGCTGTCTTAGGGCTTCTATTACTGTGAAGAGACACAATGACCATGGCAACTCTTTTTTTTTAAATTGATTTTCATTGAGCTCTACATTTTTCTCTGCTCCCCTCCCTGTCTCTCCTGTCCCTCTCAACCCTATCCCAAGGTCCCCATGCTCCCAATTTACTCAGGAGATCTTGTCTTTTTCTACTTCCCATGTAGATTAGATCTATGTATGTCTCTCTTAGGGTACTTCTTGTTGTCTAGGTTCTCTGGGATTGTGATTTGTGGGCTGTTTTTCTTTCCTTTATGTTTAAAAACCACTTATGGGTGAGTACATGTGATAATTATCTTTCTGTGCCTGGGTTACCTCACTCAAAATGATGTTTTTTAGCTCCACCCATTTGCCTGCAAAATTCAAGGTGTCACTATTTTTTTTGTTCTGCTGTGTAGTACTCCATTGTGTAAATGTCCCACATTTTCCTTGTCCATTCTTTGAGGGGCATTTAGGTTGTTTCCAGGTTCTGGCTATGACAAACAATGCTGCTATGAACATAGTTGAGCACATGTCCTTGTGGCACGATTGAGCATCCTTTGGATATATACCCATAGCAACTCTTAAAAAGGAAAAACATTAAATCGGGGTGGCTTATATTTTCAGAGGTTTTGTCCATTATCATCATGGTGCAGCAGGGTAGTGTGTAGGCAGACATGGTGCTGGTAAAGTAACTGGGTGTCCTATATCTTGGCTTTCAGGTAATAGGAAGTGGTTTCTCTCACTGTGTATAGTTTGAACATAGGAAACCTCAAAGCCTACCCCTACTATGACACTCTTTCTCCAACAAGGCCACACCTACTCTAACAAGGCCCCATCAGTACCACTGCCTTTGGGGTCCATGTTCTTTCAAACAACCACATCAGTTTTTATAGTAACTGACCAATGGACAGACTGTGAAAGTTTGTCTCAGCCAATGAAGATCATCAGGTGTAGGGGTGATGGGAAAGAGCCTCCCTCCACTTTCTGAAGGTTTGTTGCAATTAACTAATCATGGACAGATTAAACAGGACAATAGGCACACGAATGCATTATAGGCTTAGAGGCAAGAGTACAGTGTGATTACCCATTAGTCAGAATTATTTATGAGATTTATATAAAAGCCCCATTTCAATGAGACAGAGAAGAGCTGGGCATGCATACAAATGTCTGGAGAATAATAGATGATGTAGTGGAATTCCATGCACTTGGAGACTATGTGAAGGCCGGGGACAGAGTGTCTTGGGCATATTAACTCTACAAGTGGTTATAGATGATTACATTTGGAATACTAACTGGGACTGAGCACTGAAATGGAAAACACTGCTGGATAACAAAAGTCTGTCCAGGCACATTGACAGATTTTATTATTTCAAAACAAGATATGAGTTTAGTTAAAAGAAAACTGGTATGGGAGGTCCTTCTGTCTGTGTGTTGCTTTGATTGGTTAATGAATGAAGAACTGCCTTGAGCCTGTGGCAGGGAAGAACAGGACTAGGTGGGGAAAGCTAGGCTGTATGCTGGGAGAAAGAAGGGCAGAGTCAGAGAGAAACCATGTAACCTGCCAGAGACGGATGCTGGAACTTTAGCTGGTAACCCACAGCCATGTGTCAATACACAGATTAATAGAATGGGTTAAATTAATATGTAAGAGTTAGCCAATAAGAAGCTAGAGCTAATGGGCCAAGCAGTGATTTAAATAATATAGTTTCTGTGTGATTATTTCCATTCTGGGTGACCGGGACAAACAAGCAGCCTCCTCCAACAGAAAACCAAGGAAAGGGGCCAGAAATAACTATTTGGTTCCTGCGTGAGTTTATATTTAAAGCACAAACAGAGGTATTAACTCCTTGGGCATTACTTTTGGGGGACAAAATATCCAGTATTTTATGGGAGAGGTGCTTTCTGACTAACTCAAACACACTGAAAATTATTGTTTTCCTATTTCTTTTCCCTCTTACCTTTTACCTTCCTCTTTCTCCTTCTCTTTTCTTCCTCCTCCTTCATGTTTGTCTTCCCTCCAGAGAGCCTTACAAAGAACCAGCTCAAATGCCACAGTCACCCATCCAGAACTGTTCTGCCCATACTGTTTTAAACATGAGATACATGATCTTAAACTGAGGGTGTTCAGAAATGTGCCCACTTTTTGTGTCAGAGAATCTTTCCCATGCAAGTGAGTATGCCTTTACCTTCCAAAGTTCCCTACTGTCTAGTCTTTCTTCTAAGTCTGTAAAGAGACACCATCGTAGCCAAAAGCTTTTCTGTGTCCCACCTGGTCACACACCACTTATAAAATAATCCCTCAGAGGCTTAATATTAATTATAGTTGTTTGACCAACAACACAGACCTTTTACTGGCTAGCTTTTATATTTAAATGAACCCATTTCTATTAGTTTAAGTATTACCATGAGGCTTGTGGCTTGTTACCTTACATCATGCTTCTACAGTGGCTGCTGGCATCTCTCAATCCTGCCTTCTGTCTCCCTGTATCTTTGCTTGGATCTCCTGCCTCGTTATATTCTGCCCTCATAGGCCAAAACAGCTTTATTCATCAACCAGTAAAGACGACACCCATTCACAGTGTACAGAAGGACTGCCCACATTACACCATGACCATGGCAACTCTTCCAAAAGAAAACATTTAATTGAGACTTGCTTATGGTTTCAGAGGTTTAATCTGTTATTGTGGCAGGGAGCATGGTGGTACGCAGGCAGACATAGTATTGAAGAATAAATGAGGACTCTACATCTGGATCTGTAGCCAGCAGGTAGAGAGAGATGCTGGGCCTGGCTTGAACATTCGGAATTCTCCAGCAAGGGTACACATACCTCAACAAGGCCACACCTCCTAATCCATGTCAAGTAGTACTACCCCTTAATGATCCAAGCATTCAAATATAAGAGCCTTGCAGGTTTTTACTGTTTAAACCATGATTCCTACTTTCTTGGTTTGTTGAGGAGCTTGCTCTGAGAATTCCCTCTAGCACACTCTTTGCTTGTTGCAAGTACTAAGCATTTCTTCATTGTTTATCTCTTAGCTGTGTTTATGGGCTTTGCCCTCAGTAAGGAACAAATTCACTGCGTTCAGTTACTACATTTGGGCAAAGCCCCTCTCAGTATCTGTTGTTTTTTAATTCTTTTAGTTTGAACTAAACAGCCGATGGGGTTACCATCTGAGGGTGGTGGCCCTGAACTCTTCCTTGCTATCTGGGTTCCAGCACTGGGTTGAGTTCTCTTGTGCCTGGAACATCCCAGTTCATCTTAGTGCACTCATCCCCGTCCCACCCCGACACTGTAAGACTCAAGTTCAGCTCGGTTGCAGAAATTCATGTTTTTCTATGATGGTAACTTGAGAAAATAGTCGAAAGACCTCTGTTTTTATTTGATTTCTTCCTCTGATACTGACACTTTATTTCCTTTTATCCAATTTCCTAACTTTTCTTGCCTAGGGATGTGTCTTCTTCAAGAGCAGTCGTGGGAAGGGCAGATGGAAAGGGGTACGGAGTCTGGAGCCAATTTTTCTTTTCTGTAGAGATCATTAAAGGACACTACAACACATTTAACTTAAAGGTCCTGGTAGGCTTCATTTTTGATTGTAGAACTGAGCCATAAAAGACTCTAATGAACTCGGCACGCGTGGGTGGCTGTATTGCTAGGAAAGGGTGGAAGGAAGCAGAAAGGAAGAGTAAGCGGCGGATTAGTTCTTTCCTGGTGAGGGATGTAGAACGCGAACAGGAAAATGACTAGTTAACATCAAGGCATCCAGGTGACCTTTCTGTGTCTTATTAAAATAGAGGAAACACTCAGATGAAAGACAAGCTTCTTGTGAGCCTCCAGCTCCAAAGACCTTGGTGTGATTTCAGGAGTATCAGTAAGTAATTTCCCTCTAAGACAGGCTGAAGGAGAAAGTAGAAAGGGAGAAAGCAGAGGTGTGAATAAGAAGACTTTGGTGTACTGAGTTTGAAGCTAGGGAGGCCTATGGTGAGAAGAACGGAAAGTGGTCTTTATCACTGGCAGCAGGAAATGTAAATCCAAGTCTCCAGATGCAACCTGAGGAGTTTCACCGTGGACTTCTACTTCTATGTAGCCAAGATTTCACTCATGCTGTAGAAAAACCATTTTAGGTTAAGTCATTAAGGCTGATTGCAGGAAAAAATACATGCCTAAACAATAGTATTTAGAGAGAGGCCTTGAATACCCATTAACAGTAGCTAAATCTATATTTTTTTGTGTCATTTGAAGTTACATTGTTCAAGGAATGTGATCTGTCTCTAACTTAAAATGAGTTATGCTTTTACTCAAAGATACTTTTTCTCTGTAAAGGGGTTTGCAGGTGCATTGGACAAGTTTGTAGATAAGAAAGGACTTACAGATAAGATAAAACAAGATAAAATGGTCAAGAGAATTCTTACTACACACAGGTCACAAGGAGGTCAAAACTTATATTTTAACCGTAAGCATGGCTCCAATCTTGTCTGTGAGTCTTTCTCAAAAATAAATACAGGCTTGCAGATACGAAAGAAGAGCTAATAAGTGTGGTTCATTAGATGTTTTAACCTTGTTTGAGATAGGTCTTAGAATAATAAATATCTCTATGTAGGTTATCTTTACAGGAGCCTCTGCGTGTGTGTGTGTGTGTGTGTGTGTGTGTGTGCATGTATGAGTGCATGCACGTGCACATGCAGGTGCTCATGCATAGTGTGCACATAAGCCAGATGCCAACCTTGAGTGTCTTCCTTAAGAGCTATCCACC